CAGTTTACATAAATTGACAATTTCGGAAGTTTTGTGGAATGGTCGTCGTTTTGGCGGGCCGACCGGAGTCCGTCGCCCTTGAATACACGTGCGTGCCCGTCTTGGCGAGTCGACCGGAGTCCGCCGCTCTGGGGTCTCGTACGTCCTACGATACCGTGATCGTCGTCCCTCCCGTGGTGTCACAGGTGGGGGGGATGAAGAACGTGGTCAGTGACACCTCCGACGTTTCGCAAGCGAATTGCGGGGTGAAGCTGACCGTTCTTCATCTTTGTCCCATCTGGCGACTAGCCGTAGTTCTGCTCCTCTCGCTCATCCTCTTCCTTCGTTCCGAGGATTGAGTCGATCATTTCTAGGAGCTGCAGCCGGTTCGTGTGCGCTTGCGCCAGGAGTCTGGACCTGCAAACTGCATCGTCCGGTAGTGTTTCGGTGGGAGGACCGTATAGGATGTCCTCGACGTCCCCGGGCTCTGGTGGGCGTCTTAAGATCCTGGTCAGGACGGCACGCTCATCCTCCCACCTGGGGCACGCGAAGATGGTATGCTCTGCCGTGTTTTCGGGGTCCATGCAATACACGCAGTAGCTGTCTGGGGCCCGGTCTCTGTCTTGCAGATATTTCCTGAAACATCCGTGTCCGGACAGGGCCTGGGTCAGGTGGTACGTTAGACCGAGCGGAGGCCTCGACATCCAGCGACCTACGTCGGGGAGTAGCCTGTGCATCCACCTGCCGTTTGGAGAGCGGTCCCATCTGGACTGCCACGCTCTGGTGCTGATGGCTCGTTCTTCTTTCTTAATACCGCTTTTGGAGGTCATATCATCCTGATCCTCTAATCGCTGGCGCATCCTGGCCCTCTCGTTGGCCAGCAGATCGGCTGGCACCATGGACGCGAGTAGTGAGGACGCGTCAGCCGAGACGGTACGGTAGGCCCGCGTGATGCGGATGGCGACGGTGCGTTGTGCCCTTGCCATCTGTTTTTGATTTTTTGTCGTTTTGGTGCCTTGCGTGGCCCAAATGGCAGCTGCGTAAAGCATCTTACTGTTCACGACCGTTCCCAAGAGGGCTCTCTTCCTCTGGGTAGGTCCGCCGACGTTTGGCATTAGCCTTCCTATGGCGAGCGCTGACTCGCATGCCTTGGCCGACGCCTGGTGGACGTGTTTTGTGAACAGCAGGCGCGTGTCGAGCTCGACGCCCAGGTATCTCATGGACCGTTTGACTGGGACTGAGTGGCCTTCAACTATGAGCTCGGGGTCGTTGAAAATATGCTTCCTAGTCAACACTATTGCCTCCGTTTTGGCCGGAGCTAATTTTAAGCCGTTGCTGTTCATCCATTCGGCGACTGCACCGAGAACCGGGTTGATCAGCGTAGTGGCAGACTCGCCGTTACGAGAGATGCCCAGAACGCAGACGTCGTCCGCGAACGCCACTAGTTGAACCCCGTGGGGCGTATCCATTTCCAGGAGCTCGTCGTAGAAGACGTTCCACAGGGCTGGTCCGAGGACGGAGCCCTGTGGGACGCCGCACGTGGTGTTCCTTCTGAGTAACGCCTCGCCTACCAGGATAGAGCGATCTTGTAGGTAAGACCTTATTAGTCGGACGAGGTATGCGGGAACGTTCTTTTTCCGGAGCGCGGCATCGATCTTGCGCCATGGAGCCGAGTTGAAGGCGTTGCTCACGTCCAGGGATACGGCGACGCACAGGTCTCGGTGTTAGACCGCGCCCAGTGCTGCGCCTTGGGCCGTCTCCAGAAGCCGTATTGATTCGCCGATCGTTGGCCAGTAGTGTCAAGATGCTCGTCCAGTCTGGTCAGTATCAGTCGCTCGAGTAGCTTGCCAGCGGAGTCCAGCATTGACAGAGGCCTGTAGCTAGATGGTTCTAGTGGCGGCTTCCCCGGACCTTTGTGCAGGAGCACAAGTCTCGACTCTTTCCATCGCTCTGGGAAAGTGGTGTGGGCGAGACATTTATTGAAGACCCCGAGCAGAGAGAGTGGCCTGTGGAGAGCGACTTTGGCGAGTACCTCGTTGGGGATGCGATCGGGCCCGGTCGCCTTGCCGGATGGTAGTCTCTTAGACGCCTCGCGGAGTTCCGCTGCAGTGAACTCTGGCGCCGGCAGTCCGTGGTCGCCGTGCTCCATAGGGGGAGGTTCCTGAGACCAGTCGGTGGCCGGATGATTGGGGAACAGGTGGTCCGCGATCTCCGATTCTCTGCCCCTGGCTTCTGTACCTGGGCGTCGACCTCCGATTCGTTTGGTGACGACCTTGTAGGGAAGTCCCCAAGGATCAGAGTCGACCGCCGCGCACAGCTCAGACCAGCTTCTTTCCTGAGAGGACCTGATGGCAATACGGAGTTCTTTTCTCGTCCTTGTATAGTCTGCTCGGGAGAGTTCTATTAGGTCGGGCGGATCGTGTCTGCGGGAAGACCTCTGGTATTTTCTCCTCAGTTTACCGCACTCCTCGCGTAGAGCTTTAATCTGCGGGTTCCACCAATGGACCTGGCGTCTGTTGGCCGGAGGAGCTCTTCTCGGCGGCATGCAAGCGTCGCATGCGGATGCCAGATACTCGCTCAGTTGATCGGCTGCTTCGTTTGTAGATGTATTTTCGTCGATTTGAGGCAGGGGTGCTGCGGCCAGGTGAGTCGACAAGGCTCCGTAGTCCAACCGCCTGTACGACCAGCCCCTGAGTCGTTCGGGGTTGTCATCGACCTCGGCGTCCTTTTCCAGCCGGAACTGTACTTAAACTTATAAACGGAACTGGCCGAATCCGCGTCCTCGAGCACCTTCCAGGCGCGCAGGACCACGGGTGGTCGGGTGCGGTGAAATGTCACATCAATGATTGACTCGGCGTTTGCCCTCCGATAGGTGGGGGTGGTGCCCTCATTTGCGACGAGCAGGTTTAGGCTGGCTGCAAGGTCTGCGAGCCGATCTCCTCTGGTATCGTTCCGCGCAGATCTCCACTCCTGGGACCAGGCGTTGAAGTCGCCTCCTGCGACTATGGAGACTTGAGGGTCGGTTGAACGTACGGACTCTTCGATGTCCGAGAGGAAGGCGGAGAAAGCAGCGTCCGAGTCGTTGCGGGAGGAGTAGCAGCTGTACATCCTGGTGCCGCGTGCCTGAATCCAGGCGAACCCTCGACCCGAACCTGAGGTGTCTGCAACGAATTCGGCGGTAGGCGTTAAGACGACTGCGCAGGTTCCGTCAGTGCTGACTGTCCATCGGTCATCCCGAGCTGGACTCCAGTTCTGCTCCGATAGGAGTAGGACCTGAGCGCCGATGGAGGCAGAGGTCTGTTGGGCCAGGCTCTGGGCAGTGGCGCTCCGGTGGAGATTGATCTGAAGAAACGTGATCATGTTCGGTTGGTGGCGTTCATCTCAGAGATGGCTTTCCTTCGGGCGGCGCAAGCCCCGGAGCCGGGCTTGTGCGGCACGCGTGGGGCCTTGATGCGGTCGCAGGCGACGCACAGGTCCGCACCCTCGGTGCATGTGGCCTCGGTGTGTCCGTTCTGTCCGCATCTTCGGCAGGCGTGAGAGAGGTCGGTGCCGGTGCACTGCCGCGTGGCGTGTCCGTAGCCGTGGCAGCGGTAGCACTTTGTCGGCTCCGGTCTGCGCGGGCGGATGTCAGACTCCGACCGATGGCGATGGGCACTGTTGCGGTGGCCATTTGGCGGCTGTCCCGCGTGGCCCACAGGCCGGTTATCTTGACCTCATCGGCCGTGATGGGTTGGCCGTCTGGCGTGCTCTTGAGAATCGCGGCGAGGACCTCATCCCTGGTGGTAACCTCGTCGAGGTCAGTAATTTCTATTTCGGCAATGTGCCGGAGCCTGGTGACCACGGCTCCTGCCATGCTTTCGGCGAGTTTGTCCCGGATGGCTGAGGTGGCAGCAGTGGCCTTTGCGCCCTTGGTCAGCTCGACGAGCAGGTCGCCTTTGAGAGTTCTCCTCATTGTAGTCACGTGGGTTCCAAGGCCTTCGAAATCTATTTCGGTGCCCCTAACTTGGCGGAGGGTGTCTGCGTAGGACTTGCCTTCAGGGACCTTGACGAGCACGGCGGCTGGTCGAAGTTGGGCCGGTCTGGAGGTTCGAGTTGTGGGGGCGTTTGACTTCCTGGCGGGTCTCACTACAAGCGTGTAGGGCTCGTCTTTTTCTTCTTCGTTTTCGGCTGAGGGCGGCGCGAACGGTTTGGTGGTCGGGTTGTGCGTTTCCTGAAGTGTGGCGTTGCGATTAGGGGTCCTGACATCGAGCTTTGATTTGGTAAGCTTTTTCCTCTGCCGCTGTCTGTTGCCTTTGCTAGGCGCGTTAATCGGTTTAGGAACGTCGGGCTCGGTGGCGGTAGCGGCGTCCTTTTTGGCAGATGGCGGCCGTTGGTCCTTGCCGAGGAGATTCAGTGCGTTGCAGACCTGCTCGAGTGCTTTGATGACTTTCGATAAGCAAGGGCCAATGTGATCTTCGCTGTAATATTCGTCGGCGAGGCTTTGGACCAGCTCGTAGGCGTATACGGTGGCTTTGGTCGCTGCGCTGAGCGCACCGTCAGTGTCTGTCGTGGTCGGTATTTTGATTGCTGTCACCAAATATTGTCAATATGCTCTTTATCCTTTGCTCCAATCACATAAAACATATGGCATAAAATCCACCGCTACGCTCCTTAAAGCAGCCAATTTGGTCAGCCTCTTATATACAAACATTGCGGCTTTTTTCACCTTCGGCTTTTTATAAAATTAAACCGAAATTATCAGCTCTTTCATTTTCTACAACTTTTAATGGAAAAATGTGATGACTCGGCTATTTTGAAGATGGCTGAGATATTTTTTTGTTTCCGTAAATATTTATAGAGACTGTCGGATAATTCTCCACGGTGTTGGATATGACATCATTTGCTTGTAATCTTTGTAATTTTTCCATTTACAACTCCACATCTCTTCAACTTGGTACACTTTTTGTTTCAAATTGAATGTCCGTCTTATCGTATCGTTGTATAAATCGGTCAAAGTGTTATTATTAACGGGGTTGATATCGTTAGGATTGAAATATTCCGGACAATCGTGTCAGAAACAGCCATGAAATGTATAGACTTTTTTTCTCTGACTCATCGTAGCCGTCTACTCTAACACCACATATTGTAACTTCTCCACCGGTGAACTCGTGTTTTATATTTTCATTTAACTTCCATGAATTACTTAAGGCGCGTAATTTATCTTTATGGTTTTGGAGTGGTGACAAATGTTTTGAGTTCAATAACCCTTCGGTAAACTCACGGCGACACAACGATTTCCATGGCTCTGTTCTATCACCGTTAATTGCTCGATTCCATTTTCGACAGAAAAATATGTAACTATACAAATCCGACAGTTTCAAGTTTTCAAATATAATGTCAAACACCAAGTTGAGAAAGTATTGTGGTTGTGGTGCGTCACAAACGTCCATTGTTTAACGGGTGTTTTAGATTTTTATTTTCATTCCATATTTTGCTTTTCAGCCACTTTATCGATTCGTCTGAAACATTATCAAAAATCAGACTATTGCATGCCAAATGAAAGTTCCAGTCATCGTGACCCCTATCAGTGATTGCACCGCCTTCGCGAGCTCCTAGAGACGGTCGTCGGGAACGGAAACAGCGTCCACTCGCTGTGAGCTGCACACCTCCATGACCCGGTCCGCACAGGCAGCGAGGGCGTCCGTAGCAATGCTGGATATAATTGCTTGGACGTTGGTGGGCAGTTTCTGTAGCCAAAACTCCTTGAGCGCAACTTCCCCGAGATCTTGAGGGTGACGTTGCGCATGTCTCTGAGCAGCTGCGAGGGTCGGCGACCGCCGACGCCTCCGGGGAGAACAATCTCGCGGAAACGCGTAGATCGAAGGACACCGAAAACGTCGATGAGGAGGCGACGGATTCCTTCGTACGTGGCTGAGGACCCGAGCAGGTCGGCGACAACGCGAATGCCCTCTTCATCGAGCGCGGTCAACACGTGGTTCACGTGTGAGTTGTTTGTTGAAATGCGTTGGCACGCGAAGGTTGCTTCTGCGTGGATGAACCAGTGCTCCGGCGCGTGCCTCCAAAAGGCAGGAAGGCGGGCGACGGCGGCTACGTCAGGCGGTGTCGTGTTAACGTTGGGCGGGGTGGTGTTGTTGCTCGCGTTGCCGTTTCCGCCTTGTGGTGATGTCGGCGCGGTTAATGCCAGCTGACTCCAACAGATCACGTAACCGTGACTAATTTAACCAATGAGAATAACAAAGCAGTTTGGTTGATGATGATTCGGTTTATTTATTACAAGAGCACGTAGAAAAGTAAAATAATACAGTTAGTGTACGATGGGACGTAATTGTTAACACGACGAGTCAGAAACGCTGGTCACGAGGTTTCGCGTGTGTGAAAACTCGGTAACGAGAGGTGCGTAGCGCGTACGTGTGTACTGTTGCGAAATCGAGGGAGAAGAGAGTCAAATCGGGCGGAGGCTAGACTTGTTGATGTATGGATGAAGTGTATGTCTGTTACTGGGTTATGTGAGTATGTGTTATTGTGTGATTGTTTACATATTAGGTTGTGGGTTTCTGTTAGGTCGAGTAGTCTTCCGTTTTTATGTACCTCTCCTAGTTCTATTTGTGTTATTATTTGTTTGGTTAGTATGTTGCTTATTTGAAGAAAGAAAAATCCGTTTTTGTATAAGTCATAGCTTCTTATGCTTAAAAAGGTATGTTTTATGTTGAGTCTGTTTAATATTTCCATGTCAGTTTGGCCATTCCAAGTGATTATAATTGGAATTTTGTTTCCATGTAGTAAATAGTTCTGTATAAATTCGCCCTGTAGGTTTGTAAATTTTGTTAAGAAGCTGTCATTGAGTTCATTGAGAATTGGAGTAAGTTTCTGTTCTTTGTTTTTGAAGATTTTTAGTGGGCTTCTTATAACAAGGTTTATGTCAGTTTTATCTAATGGAATGGCATTGTTTGAGTTTTTTCTAAGTAATAAGGGTGTCCCTTTTAATTTAATGATGGGGGATTGTTTGTGTATGTTTGATATAGCGCCTGAAATGAGTACTAGACTGGTCCTCTCCATTGTTGTAAACTCGAAGTCGATAGCTACAATATTTAGTTTGTTCATGATTATATGTTTCTGCTGCTGCTTCTACTTTGTTAGTCTTGTAATTTCAAAATTTAAAAGTTTTTTGCATGTTAGTTTTAATTCTTTGTTTTTTGTTTTGCGAATGGTGTCCTTGGTTATGTCACTCACGTTCATGAAAAAATCATCCAGAAAGTTCCAGTCATCGTGACCCCTATCACATACCAATTGATACACAAGCTGTTATATTTTTCTAAAACAAATATATTCGAATTCATAGGTAGAATACATTGCTAATACCGTATGGTAAATGGCCTACTTATATATTTCAAATATAATATAAATCGTTATTCGCTATTAGCAATTACCTTTATCCTATTATCGTCATATCTGAACTCAGTCACAATAAAGTGAATTTCGTAATTAGATAAGTTATGGAAAAAACATGGAACGTATTTATGCTCTTTTAATTTTAATTAACATTGTAATTACTCAAAAATTACGATATAAAATAAAAACGACTCCTGTTAAATATATTAAAATCGTAAAACTAATCAATTACCTTCCTCCAGGTGCTCGGAGGGCTCTCGAGATCGTGTTTTCCTGAATTAGATCAAATACACCATACAACACAATTGTATATAAAACATGCACAGATAATATAATAAATGCAAATAATATAAAATATTATTATATTAATTGCTTTACCTGAGTCGTTTTTGAAATATCTTGTAAGGGTTTTAATAGACACAGAGTTATATATATTTTCAAAAATTATAAATCGAAATAATAAACGCATTGATTATTGCTCACATAAGGAGTCCAGAGTGTCGCTCGTTGAAATCGGTTTTTTAGACTTTTTGGAGGTTGTTACTCGGTAACTGGTGATCAAGCACTGATTTAAGGGTGTGACGCGAAGATGCTAACCAGAGGGTGGTAGGCAGCTTTATCAAAAGGTTACCGTGAGCTTGGGAACTAGATTATTCTTTGGCGGCAGATACCCTTTTTTTCCTTTCCTTTTCTCTGGCGACATTATAATATAATAAAGTCACACACCCTGCGTTTTACCGTTATGAGTGCATGCCGATATCTTAGTTGTTGTTAATAATGGTTTTATTTGATGTGACCGATTTCTACAAACGACAGTCGGGCCTTTATTTATAAGGTATTCTGTAAGATTTTAGTTTATTATAATGGTGTGTGAGCATATCATTACATCCACCCTACAGTTTTTTGTGTTGTGCCCTCACAACACTGCTCGTTGGCGAGAGTGAGAGCAGTACAAATATTTAATAGGAGAGAGAAAAGTGAAAAAAAAAATTGAAATTCGAAAGTTGAAAGTTGAAAAGTTTGAATATAATTTAAACTGGACATTTACATACATATATATAAAGAAAAAAATTTAAATATATTTTCCTAACCTCTTTCCAGGATTTTATATTTTTTTCCTTTACACCAGGATTCCGAAGATTATTGAGGTGTACAACTAACTCATCCCACGAGCTCATTTTTTCCATTTATACATCGAAATTTTCCAGTTGCGACATGTGAGTTTTTTACCATGTAGTCCATCATAAAAATTAATTGTTTGTCGTTCCTCCTCCCTTGTCTCGACTTTTTTAGACTCATCTCTTGCTCATCATTTTGAGATGCTCTATGATAATTCAAATTTAAACAAACACTTAGATGTTATAAAAACGCAAATTGGCAGGTAGTAAATTTTTAATAATATAAGTACTTACGATTGAGTAGCTATCCTCTTCATATTTATAATCAAGTACACAATACAAGTAGACAATAAAAGTCTTCAATTTTTATTCAAATAAATAACAATTACAATATTCAGTTTTATTAAACAAAAAGTACACGGAAGTTGGAACTATATAAACAAATTCGTATTAATTTAAACGAAAATACAAACTAAAATTAAATGTAATTTCCTGTGATGAAGAATCATGATAAGAATACTTCGCGCACTGTGATTGGATACAATTTATAATCTCCCGGAAATTAATCATTTTGTGATGATTTATTATCGACTTGTCGGTAACGAAATGTGTAAGCGCGGACTAACGATAGAGTCATTTACAGAATCACTTAGTCGATAACTAATTTCGATACATTTTAGAATATGTCGATAGTGATCACTATCTAATTAATTCGTTAACAACTTATCGACTTACAGAATCGAGCTGCTGGTCCGTCATAGGTATACGTCGTATTCTGATATACTACAGTCTTGTCTTTCGTTTGTCCATATTATTTCCCCCTTGTCTTGGTCAAGCCCATAGGAATCTGATAATTTTAATCTAGACCCTGACGGTAAAATTAGAATATTTTCTTTGGTGTTTGCTATCTCAGATAAATGAATATTATATTTAGCCTGTACTATTACATTGTTCCATATACCCCTGACATTTATAAATGTTGTTCCTATACAGTTGCCATTTTTGTCTAGAGATCCACCACTTGTGTGGGATGTAATGAAAGTTTAATTTATATGTAAGCCCGATATTATGCCCCCTAACGGGGGTTTGGTAAATTAATTTGTGGTGTACTTCTTCGCATCGAGCGTGTCCCAGTTCAATTATTTCAGAATAAAATCCCCCTTCTACCATTTGTGCGTCTTCAAATGTGGAGCATCTAGTTATTAAATAATCTATGGAAATGCAACATGATTTATATTGTTGTGAATGTATTTCAATTTTCTGCATTAATTTTATTTTAGGTATTGATTGTATATCTGTGGGTTTTGGGTTTTCGCAAGTCGTAAGCTATGAATGTCTGTGTGGGATTAAATTTTAGGGTAATAATAAATGTGAATATTAATTTTGTATTAAATAACTGCATCTTTGTAAAATTGTTGTGTGCGTTTATTAGTTTTTTTTACGGGTAATATTTAATTATATATTTGTTTATTAATTATTTATGTATACTTTAGTTATGGGTGATTTGACGTTTTGGCTTGGTCTCTGAAACAATATACTGTTAGTGTGTGTTTGTAACATTTACCTGTATAATAAAACATAACATAAAACAATATATGACAAATAAATTATATTAAATTATACAGCGTATTTGCGTATTACATATAGATTAATTTTTTTTTTTTACGAATAATAATTGTTTACCTATTATGGCTGGGATATTTTATTTTATACGGGATAAACCCTTTGAACATATATACACATTATACATATCTATTTACACATTAATTGTACAAATTATGGTTATAATAAATTAATAACTATACAGTAAATTATTTGCAAAGAAGAAATAAAGGGTCAACATTGGCATTAGACATCATACATGAAATAGGCTCATTTTTAAGGTAATTAGTGGATGCGAATGGAACATAAAAAGGAGCAACAGATCGGGATAGACGTTGATGAACTCTAAAACAAATTAAGGAAAGCAAATTGGGAGAGTCAATATCACCTTGTAATAAACTATTCAGGAACTTAATGCCCGAGATCCGTCTACGCTCAGCCAGCGAAACCAGCCCTAGTTGAGAAGCAACTGGTCCATAGTTGTGGGGTTCACAGGAGATATTCAATCTAAAACTAGCATACCTCATAAATTTACGCTTAACCCTTTCAAGTCTAAGAGAGTCATTTAGGTCGTGCGGATCCCAAATAACGGCACCATACTCAACAATAGGGCGAACAAGTGCACATTAAAGCACCTTGTATGATATACCTAACCAAAAATCCCTACATAATCTTAACACAAATCCCGGAGTTTTAAAAGCCTTACAACAAATATACTCATTATGAGGTCTAGGATCAAGATCCCTACTAAGAATAAATCCTACAGTAACATGGCCGTTAGAACATGAAATAGCAGTTGTTCCAAGATAATAAGCATATTTGACAGGGAACTGTATCCTGGCAAAGGTCATATTCTCATATGTATAATTTTATTTAATGAATTTGTAATTTAAGTTATGTGATACATAATAATAATAAATAATGTGCATACAGATATAATAATGCACTAGTCGTAAAATATTTAAATTAATAGGTAGTGTATTTGCCATTATTTTTGTATGAATATTAATATTCAATTCATATTATTAGAAATTATTGTGTTGCGTGTTATATAAATAATTTGGTTTGTTTCATGTATTTTTTTATATGTTATATTGCACGTCTTGCATTTATATGTATTTTATGATATTTTATGAGTTGTTTGTATTTATTTTATTGTTATAATAATTTTAAAAAAAAAGACGGAGGGGAAGGAAGAAAGAACAAAAAATATATAAATATATTTATATTTTGACGGGCTGGAGCCTTTTGCGTTTTAAATTAATTATGTTGGTATTTAGACAGTTAAAGTCGAAAATTCCCTAATTTAGATCCTTTTGTAGTATGGTTTTAACCTCCGTACGTGTATAGTGTCGACGGTTTCTTTGTTGTTTAATGTCATTTTTATTTTATAATTTAAATCGTTGATTTTGTCTACTATTTTAAATGGTCCTCTGTACATGGGTCCTAGTTTGGGAGACTTTCCCACTTCGAGGAATGGAAAACTAATCATAACTAAGTCATTAATGTTATAATTTATTGCTGTATGTGTTTTATCATGGTATTTTTTTTTTAAATTATTTGAGCTTTATGAATTTGCTGTGGTATTTTATTCCTTATTTTATTTAGTTCTATTAATGATTGTTATAAATAATATGGTACGTTTTCGGGAATAATTTTGTTATCTATGGGAAATGTTGGTTCAAACCCGTGCATTAGGTAAAACGGGCTAAACTTGGTGGTAGTTTGGGGTGTGGTATTATATGCTAATGTTATGTATGGCAAGAAATATGACCATTTTGTTTGATCACCATTTGTTAAATAGTTTTTTAAGGAGCCTGTTAGTACACCATTATTTTTTCAACTAGCCCCTGTGTCTGCGGTGAATAACTCGTCGACAAAGTTTGATTCATTCCTAAGTTTGAACATATATCAGTGATTAATTTATTTCTGAAATGAGTGCCTCGGTCGGACGAAAAGTTTCTAAAGCAGCCCCAATGTGATACTATTTCTATTAAAAATTTGGCAGTTGCTTCGGCCGTGGCCGATTCAACTGCCTTAGTAAATATGTATTTTGTGATGTTCCATGGGGCTACTAAAATGTATCGTTTTTTGTTGCTTGATACTAGTGGGCCTAGGTAATCAAATGTTATTCTATCTAATGGTCTTCCTGTCGTTATTGGTATGGGATGTAATAAACCTATTGATTTACCGCTCATTTTTTTATTGACTTGACATTCATCACAAGATTTAATAAAATTAGTGATGTCTTTGTGTAATGAAGGCCAATAATATTTGTTTTGAATTTTATGAATAGTGCGTGATATGGCTGTATGTCCACCTGTGGGTGAGTCGTGATAGGATTTTAATATTTCATTAATCAATGTTTTTCTTATTATAAGAATTGGGTTATAACTTTTCGATGGTGTGTATCTTTTATAATATAATATTTCATTTTGTAATGTAAATTGTCTAGATTTTCTTCTTATGTTAGTGGGTACCTCTATATTTGACAATGCTTTTATTATGTCATTGCAAAATTGGTCATTTAATATCGTGTAAATTATTCAATGCGTCGTTGTCGTCATTAATGATATTCATAATTTTAATATTGCTAATTGCATTTCTTGATAGCGAGTCAGCAACTTTGTTTTCTTTGCCTTTTATGTATTTAATATCGAAGTCAAAGTCCAATAATTTTAATGTTAGCCTAGCTATCCTAGCGGAGGGTATTTTTAGGTTGTTATAATATTGTAAGCGTATGTTGTCACAAAATACTGTAAATTTGCGTCCCCATAAGTACTCTCCAAAATATTGGATACCAAAACATAAACCAAGTAACTCGAGGGTGGTGGAAGAGTCAGTCTTTTCTGAATCTAATAACTTTCTAGATGCATATCCTATAGGGCGTAAAGTGTTCGTGTCATCGGACTGTTCAATACATGCTTCTAATCCCAATATAGACACGTGTATAGTCAAATATAGGTGTTTATCATCGTTAAAATGTAGTAAGAGGGGCTTTGAAGTTAAATAATGTTTTAATTTATTAAACGTTTCTTCATGTTCGTCAAGCCAAATTATTTTATTTTTACCAATTATTATTAGTTCGGTATATGGGTGTACAATTTTAGCAAATTCTTTAATATGTTTCCTATAGTATGACCCCATGCCGATAAATGATCTATCGTATTTTATTGTTTTTGGTCTATTAAATTCAGTGGTTGCTTTTGTATTTCTGTTTAACGGTCGTATACCAATTGTTGGTATTCATGTCCTAATAATTCGATTTTATCGTAAAAAAAATTACATTTTTTTGTTTTCAATGAAAAATTCGTTTTGTTAATGATTTCAAATGCTACGCGTAAGTTAATTATCACCTGATCAAAGTTACTGCCATAGGATACTAAATCATCAATGTAAATTATAATAGATTTGTATAAAATATGTGAAAATGATTTATTTAATTTTTTCTGGAATATAGCACTACTATTTTTGAAGCCTTATGGAAGTCTCGTAAAAGTTAATAAGCCTAATACAGAAGTGAATGCAAGTTTGAACTGGTCTTTCTCTTCAACAGAAATTTGAAAATAACCACTATTTAAATCTAAAGAACTGAAGTATTTTGATCCTTCTAAAGCTCTGAATAAATCTACAGTACGAGGTTATGGATATTGATCGCATTCTACTCTATCATTAAGTTCTTTGTAGGATACTACTAAACGATGTGAGCCTATCTCTTTTTTCTTTACAAGCAAGGCTGGGGCGTCCAATTTTGAAACTACTGGTTTGACGATGTTTCCTTTTAAAAGTTTGTCGATTTGACTTTCTAATTCTTGACGCTGTTGTGGTGATACACTGATACTCTATGGGGTGCATTAAATTTTGGTTCTTTATAATTTGGCTTGAAGCGTATTCCCGTCTTAGATTTATAGCTGATACAAATTTTCCATATATACTTTCAAATCCTTGGAATGCATCCATAGAAAGGCTTGAAGCATTATTTGATACATCCTTTAAACGTTTTCTCTGAAAAAGAGAAATATCTTTAAGTAATGGTATTGAACTTTCGTTGAATCGTTCCTGAATCTGTATAGAAACAATATCCAATATGACATAATATGATTTTATTTTAAAGTTCTGAACTGGATCATCAAATTCTTCATCAGATGCAAGTTCACCAGGCATTTTTTTAATGCGTCTCACTCTAGAACGCACTAAAGGTGTAAACAAAAGATTATCTTTTTTTGATTCAATAAATTTGTTAAATTAAATTAAATTAATTTTAGATTTTCGCATTTTACATGATGTGGTATGCCGTTTACAATTTGTATCATTCAGCATTCCTTTTTTTTTTCCACAAATGCACTCGTCTTTATTAAGAGTTGACATATTCCGATATTCGTATTTGGTACAACGCTCAGGCATAAAAAGTAATAACAATAAAGAAAACGAAAAGTACCTACAGGGTTTCGGTCATGTATTGAAAGTGGAATGACTTCATGGTTAAAATGTTAAATTCTATAATCTATTGATATGATGACAATGGTATTTTTATAATTGTATATCAATATAATAATTATATCATTACTGGCTTTTACAGGAAAAAAGTTGGATAAAAATAGCCACTTCACAGTACGAATAACCACTAACTGATGATGTAAAAATAATATATAACACAATTTAAACTGTTCACTATACGTCTATAGTGAATACGTCTATATACCTACTTCATTAATACACAGGAATACAGCGACACGGCCTATAAACGTTACAGTCGTTCCACTTTTGATTCTAATTTACTATCGAACACTCAGTATCTACCCGTCAAATTTGTTCTGTTAGATATTCGCCCACCTGCATAACAGGACCCACCACCCACCCATTTAAAAGGGATGGCGGTCGCCACCCTTACTATATAGGTTGGGCGCCACTGTTGGCTTCATTTTGATCTCACAAGGTTAAATATTAGCGGCTTTTATATTGAACGTGTCTGTAGTAAAAATGTAATTATATTCAGTTAATAGTTGAATAACTTGGTTGTGTTGTGTTATACTTAATTTTGGGGAAATAGAAAAGGGTGTGCCCTCAGAATATGATAATGAATGTTTTGTATTTAAGTTTATATAGTTTATCCTTTCGACTTTAGGGAATGATTTGTGTGTGTGTGTGTGTGTTGGAGGAGTCTGTTAGTTCTTTATTTATTTTTGTATAATTATGAGTCGGGACTATTTGTATTTTATTTATATTATTCATTGTGTTTTTACTATCGTTTGTCATTTCTTTAAATTTTATATTTCTATTTAGTAAGATGAGTGTCGGCACTTCTTGTATGTGGATTATATTTTTAGGAATTTTATTGCATTTTGTTGTTGTTAAAGTGCCTGGTATCCAATGAGTATTTTTATTAACGTTATATAACACTATGGGTGACCTATTTCCATAACCATATATTATACCCGTATTATTGTCGTCATTATATATGTAAGTATCATGGTCGTAATAATGTGCAATCGCGGCTAAATCCTCATCTGACCACCAATAATCTGGTAATTCGTTTAGATCTAATAACTGTAGTATCTCTAATATTGAAGTTATTTTATTAATTTTATGGTCATTTAAAGCATTGCAGACTGAGTATATCCCACAATTCCCATCACTGAGTTCGTTTTCTCTTGGTTTGAAAGTAGAGAATATATTATAGGCTTGATCGTTGTACTCGGGTTGTGTGACTTATTTTTTTTCGTTTTTATCATTATTATTGTCGAGAAAATTATGAATATTATTTATTATATCAGAGTGTTCTTTTGATTTCCAATTTTGTGATATGTTTTTGTCATTTTTATGGTATAAATCTATTTCGATGTTAGTGTTTTGAACTTCTGAATATAATGATTGTTTTACAACGGACCAATTTAGTTTGTCTAGCCCCGACGCTAACGTAGGCATTGCAATTTTTGAAATATTTAGTTTTATGGCTTCAAGTTTTAGGTTGTGAATTGAAGATTTTAGGTCTTCATATTTGGGCTTATGATAGTGTAATACTTTTGTTATTAAATTAAATATAGTTTTATTATTGCTGTTTATAGGTATGGTGTTTCCCACATTTATTTCTTGTAATGCAAGTTTTGGTATGGTATCGCCGTATACTTTGCATATCAAATTTGCTATGCTCTTATTCATTTTGAGGTCAGTAGATATACAGTGTACTATAGCGAAGTTATCGGGGCAATTCAATTATTCTCATGCATATTGTTTTTTATTATATTACCGTTAGATTTGTCAATTAGTTCTGAGATAAATGATATATTGGTTATTTGCGTATCGAAATCGTCTGAAATGGCTTCCCCCTTTAAATATTTTGGTAACCTAGTTTTTAGTTCTGTAACCAAACCGGATGTTTTTAGGTGTCTTCTAGGTAATTCAGTATTTAATTTTTCTTTATTATATATATATTCGTATGACGTTATTAACACACATTAACAATAAAATAAATTATGAACATGGAAGTTATAAGTTATGGTATTAAATAATAGATAAAATAATAAAATAAATAAAATAGGAAAAAAGGAATAAACATTTTGGCAATAATAATACAATACAGTCACATATATGCTAAAATAACTCTAGGTGGGTACTGAGTAACATATAATAGACTAGGGTGGTTATATATTGATATCTAACTTTTCAAGCCAATTAATACCATCCCTGGTAACTTTATTCAGCTCTGCCAGTCCCCCATGGAATGCTCTGGGGAGGCAATCCTCCACTATGTGTCTTGCGGTTTGGGTATGGTGTCCACAGTCACATTGTGGAGTGGGACTTAATCCCCAACGGTGCATCATGAGGCCAGTTCGTCCATGTCCGGTTCTGAGTCTGTTTAGGACTATCCATTGTCTCCTGGGGAGGTTAAATCCAGGGGGTTGCATCATAGGTTGGTCAAAGAGATGGTTCGAGTCAATATTGTTAGTCCTCCAATCTTCGGTCCATTTAGACATAAGGTCGAATTTATCCGTGGTGAGTTTCCAAGTCGGTTTCCTAGATTTACACCTTTGCATTGGGCCAGCATTAGTGCAGTCGCTATGGATGGGAAGTGCGGTATTCCTAAGGCATTTAGTCCATTCTTGGAGCAATGAATTCATCCGACAAAGATTCGGCGGGGCAATGTTGCATAGTAAGGGGAGCCATTGGATGCTCGTTGATTTGACCGCTCCTGAAATGGTTCTCATGGCTGAGTTTAGTTGGACGTCGATTTTGTTCACATGGGCGCTATTGGCCCACACTGGAGCGCAGTATTCCGCTACTGAGTAAGTTAATGCTAATGTAGAGATTCTAAGTGTATGGGCATCTGCTCCCCAAGACGAGTTGGCCAATTTTTGAATTAAATTGTTTCTTGTTTTTATTTTAGCAGCAGTTTTTGTTAGGTGATCTTTATACGTAAGTGTTCTATCCAAGGTAACTCCGAGATAAGTAGGATTTTGGCTATTTCTCACTTCTACATTATTAAATACAACTTTAATTGTTTGGTTTGTCTGTCTGTTGTTAAGGTAGAATAATGATATTTCTGTTTTTGTTGGATTAGGTTTCAGTCTCCATTGTTTTAAGTAGTGGCTCAAGACAGTAAGGTCTGAGGTCAGTGTTTTTTCGCATGATTCTAGGTTTTTATCTTGTGTGACTAAGCAAATATCGTCAGCGTAAATAAATTTTTGAGAAGTGGTAGTGGGGATATCATGGGTGTACAGATTAAATAGCAGTGGAGCGATTACAGACCCTTGTGGTAATCCGTTATTCAGTACCCTTTGTCTGCTCTTTTTAGCTCCGATTACTACTGTGAAGAGTCTGCTGCTCAGCATGTTGTTGATGATTCTTCTAATTGTTTTACATGGGATTACTTGTATAAGTTTGCTGATCAGTCCCTTGCGTCATATTGTACCATAGGCTGCGGTAAGGTCGATAAAGGCAGCCGCAGACTTAATTCCTTTTTCGAATCCAGCTTCAATATGCGTGGTTAGAGCTAGGGCCTGATCACAGCAGCTTCTGTTGGGTCGAATCCCTGCCTGTTCGATCGGTAGTATCTTATTATTAGTTATTAATATCATCAGAAATTCTATTATGAATTAGTCTCTAGGAGTTTGTATCCAACGCTCAATAGGGCAATGGGTAGCTTTGGACATCATTACTTGGTTTACCGGGTTTGAGGATCGCTAGTATTTTAGTGCTCTTAAATTGCTTAGGGAGTAATCCAGTAAGGAGTATATCCGTGTAGAACTTAGCGAGCCACTTTCTTGTTCTAGGTCCACTATGTTTTATTAGCTCTGGGAAGAGTCCATCAAAACCAGCAGCCTTTCCCGATTTGAGATTAGCGTCAAATAGTAAGGATACGTACTCTCTATCCATCCATTCGAGAATTGATTCACCATTGAGATCGCTGTTGTCGTACCCCAAGTGTTGATGATGGCTATTGAAATCTCCAATAATTACAGTAGGATTTTGGACAGGTGGTAATGTTGGGTTGAGCCAGTTAACTCCTGGTGGTTTGTAGACATTGATAATATGAATTCCCTCAATTTTTATTTTTATAAGTGAAACATTGTTAACACCCGATGTCGATATATGTTCCCAATTAGATATGCTGTTCCTGATATAAGTTGCTGATCCGTATTTTTTATGATAAGTGGCAGAGGCCAGCTCACCCACCTCGGATAGCAGCACCCACGACACGTCGACACCAAATAGCTCCACCAGTGACCCTCAGTGAAGCTAATCTATAAGTATACCTATCTAATAACTATTATTTAATGTTCTTATATTGTAAGATTTGATTTTAATAACTGTTACAAAATTATATATATACTTGAGTACTTGCTTTACATAAGGTAACCCTGATCCCTAGCAATAATATCACACACCGAGGTCGAGTTTCCGAGACCTCATTAATATAAACAGAACTACACCGAGGGGTGCGACCTCCCAGGTGAAGAGGAGATGTTACAGTTGGTGGAGGCGCCGGGCATTGGATATTGCTGATAGGAATCTAAAATTGAATCCGGTGTTTGCAGGATAACTGGGAAACTGCAGATCAGTAATATCGCAGTCAAAAGCTAAATATTTGGGCTCTTGACGGCGTGAGCCTAAAGGTCTGAAACCCAGTACGTTTCGGTTAGGCTTCTGTCCCATGTATGTCAGTAACGACTGATATGGGCCACGGTTGGCGTTGCTAATTGCATCTTAAACCGTTTCACTAGTGACTCCTAGACATGGAATTTCTTCGTAGAGATTGTGTACAGTGCTATCCACGTTAGGCCCTGGTGGTTGGAGTACATCGTAGTACCCGCCATGACCATTGATAGCTACATCAGGTAGCGGTGGAAATGCTGGAGATAAGTGCTGTTTTGTAGTAGTAAGCACGTTTCCTAAGTGTCGCAATTGTAAGAAAATGGGTTCAGGTACTGTAAACGCCGTAGTCTGAATCAGTTGTAGTATGTCTTGTTCGGAAATAGTTAACGGTTGAGAGTTATTCTGTTTGAGGGATAAAACTCTGAGCCACAACATGGCTGTTGAATAATAATCAATGTATTCTGGTAGCAAAGATTTACTGAGATTTGCGTCGTCAGTAATCAACTCTGCCAATGTTAATTAGAAACGTCGATAAATGCTGGCGCACTGGGCGAGAATGTTTCTCGCGGTGACACTTCGCGGACCGAAATCCCTTGTGAGAATAACGAGCCTTCAGCGGGGCTGGACTCATTCACTCGAACACTGGAAGTGTCGTATAAATTGGTCGGCGGTGGCAGCTTTGCAGGTGCCGTTAGCGGGGTGGGTTGCTATGGACTATCCTAAGATGTCCTCACAAATAAAATAACAAACACTTCGGACTGGTTAACTTTCTGTATTTGGTAATTTGAAGTAAAACGTACAACTAATATAATGAAAAAGGCTCTGAAGGTTCTGTACAAACGTAATGCTCTGGCTCCAATTCTGGACTGCCGCACTCGCGTTTTGTGCTCGAGGCGTCCGGTCTCAATCGCTTCATCAGCACATTCCTTGAGACCGACGACGGCTCGCACATATACAAATACAATATTACACATATACGTATTAACTTAACTAGAACAGTGGTTCTTAACAATATCTTTCAACCTTAGATTGGCTTGGTTTCTCCTGCCACGTATTCGGGGCACGGGGATTCTTCTGCCTATCTGGTCGGCCTTGATAGCCGCGCGGGGGAACACGACGCGATTGCGCCTGGTTTGGTTCCTGATTGTCTGACATTGTGAAATGGTAGACAATGATATTAACGGTAATACATTACGTGTTAATATGATTTGCTATGAAAACAAATGGTTTGGTTTGAATTGAAATGGTGTGATTATACATTTGATTATTAAAACTGTTATTTGGATTAAATGAATTATTTGAAAAATTATGGTTTTGATTATTATAACTATTATTGTTATTATTGCATGGGTCGTAATTGCACATATTATTATTGTATGTATTATTTGGATTAGTTTGAAGATTATGATATGAACTAGGACTATTCACATGCATGCTATTATTAAATTTCTTTTTCTGGTTAAAATTTCTATTACCATTGTTAATATTATTTAATTTAGATTTTAAAAGTTCATTTTCCTTTTTAAGAGTGTCGATATCTACAGAACTTATATTTTGAAAATCTGTGTTCATCAATTTCGAATTTTCTATTTTCTTTAAATTAACTTCCAAGTTGTCTAAAGTGTCATTAATCATAATAGTTACCGTGTTATAATATTCTGGTGTCAGTGCCTCTAATATTATAACAATTTTCTCGGTCTCGGGAATGGTGCAATTAGTTTGACTAATTAAATATAAAATATCTGCTAAAAACTGTAATATTGTGGATCGTAATCTGTATTTTGTCAATATAATGTTCCGTAGAATTGTATACAAACATGGCGTAAGGTAAAAGCTCATCCCAATTGTCTAAACTTTTACTTACGTAGTGTCTTAAATATTCTGCCAATGTCTTATGTGAATGTTCTAGAGCCCCATTGGTCATCGGATGATAACTCGTTAATATTAATTAATATATTGTGCCATGTACACCATGCGTAATACTATAGTAATAATATTATATACTTGTGTGGTCCTAACCTTGGCTATTGCAACAATGCTTTTTTGAAAACCACTAATTTATTTCATCATAATCACTACCCCACCTCACATACTTGTCCATAAGTCTATTGAGTTGCTCGTTATTTCCGTCATCACTCCAATCTATTGTAATGTGCTGAGTAGCTTGGTGCCTACTATTGTAGTATATATAATAGACAAGTGGCTACTAGAACATTAACGTTACAGGCAGTAGACACTTCTTTTGATGATGTCGTCGTGGTTATTGATAAAATAAGTAGTCTGATATAGTATATTGTGAATTTATTAGTTTTACTTTTAATAATTTCGACAAAGTCCAAATATGACATACAGAGTGGCTTGAAGGTGCTTGCTCTGATGGGTGGTAGTACACGTCTGAATACAGGCCTATTTGGGCTCCCTTATATATAAAGTTCCCCGTGCCCCTCACCTAAAGATATACTTTATCAAGGCTCTCACGGATGTGATTTGTGTGGTCATTATTCCAGCCACGCATTTACGATTGAATGTATTACTAAATTATGACTATTATTAAAATAATCATTTTACTCTTTTCTATTTGAATTTCGTCGTGTGTGTTCAGTGTTTTTATGATAATTAGTAAAATAATCATTTTACTCTTTTATATTTGGATTTCGTCGTGTGTGTTCAGTGTTCCTGTAAAATATTACAACCGCCTATTTTTGAACCCTAATGTCTTTAATGTCCCTTAATGTCTGGTTATGCCGGTCTATCTTATATTATAATAACTATGCACTCGTGAAATTGGTATTATTACGTAGTAACTTGCTTACTACATCTCCCACTTTAAAAGTTGATTTTTATCGTCTAAAACGAGAAAAATTAACTCAATTATCCTTCCATTAGTCCAAGCACTTTCCTATGGTTACAAGTTTACATACATCAATTATTACATTACATTCAATTATTACATGTTTACATAATATGTTTGTTACAAATATTTAGTTACATTATTGTAATTATATGGTACATTCCACCATATTTTCTATTTACATTTATTAAATATTATTGACAAAATACAGATTATAATCCACAATATTACAGTATATAATATTTGCTTATTATCTAGGTTAGTATCTTAATATATGATTAACAATATATATTTTTTTGTTTTACAACAATAATCTTATCTTATTGTTAATATAATACGAATTAATTCTTTGATATAATATGAAATCTTAAAATCTATAACAATATATTTTTTTTTCGTGTAATATCGGTCATATGGTCTTCTTTTTCAGGTTCTCCAGCGATCATCTCAATCTCGCATTGTATAACGTCGAATTTTTTTACTAATTTGCGGCAATTCCTCTTGTTAATTTTGTTTAGAATAGGAATTAAATTTAGTTTTAAATTTTAATTAATATAGATGAATATACTATGTAGTATAAAATTAAGTAATAGAAAAAATCTAATTATAGGGATAACTACAAGTCAATCTGTATCAAATTGGATATCGCCATTGTAGATGGGGAACATTAAAAATGTACAGTAGGCGACGGTAGTAATATACCACCATGTTTAACGAGACATATACAACTAGCAAACAATCTCGAAGGACAAGATAAGACGAATTGAGCAAAGCATCGTAGCATTCATTTATGGTATGTCAAAAAGAAAAAGAAGATCCGGTAACCAATGGTACATAATATGCGAATTACAACTATTTCGCTATACAAGGGAAGAACCTATGGGACAAGTTACACATAACCTTAGGGCATTAATTGATGTTTATTATGGAGTTCGAGGTAACAACCAGAGATAGTGGAACTATGTCAAGGGTTATGGAGTTGGTTCCGAAACCCATACGCGTGTAATGTATCGACAACACCATTTCGTTACCACCTGGATGTCAACCGGATACCAGGAGTAGGCGGAGCTAAGCCCGTAGGCGTAGCAAGTATAGTATACAAACGCACGGAACCACCTGCACTCATTGGAAATGAAAATGAAGAACTACTAAATAACAACATAATACTGGTAAATAGGGTTATTACTGAATTTTGGGAATTGAATAAATAAATAAATAAAGAAGCATGGATAAATTATATGAATATTAATAGTTATACGTTGAATAGGCTAAGGCATAGGAATAATATCGAAAGTAATGTTAGCGTTAATAATAATAATAGTAACAACAATAATAGTAGTAGGGAAATAGTTAATAGTAGGACACAAGTACCTAGCAATAGAAATAGAAGTATGTTACGTAGTGTTAGTAATAATAATAGTATTAGCAATATAGTAGCAAACACTTTTAGTAGAAATATGACTGAAGCAGCTGGTCCGTGGTGGTCGGATAGTGATAGTGATAGTGATGGTAATAATTTAAGGAACATAGCACCTAATAGTACAATTAGTAATATGGACGAAGTAGAAGAAATTAGTGATAGCTTTTGCTTTGCTTCGAATTGGGAGCCAAGGAAAAACCCCAGCTGTGTTTGTAAGTGTCAGGCGATGCCTATAACTTATGTTTGAATTTTTTAATGGCTGATTGTCAGGATGTGGAGTATATTATTGTAATTTCGCAAAGTTGATTGGTCTTGATCGGCGTGTGAGTATTTGAGGAGCTGGTGATGTTCCAATGTCGCGGATGTGGGCGAATGTTGATTGGGCATTTCTGTGATAAAATACCCTAGCCGCTAGTTCTGCTTCGTTTCGCAAAGAGTTTATGGGTGGATTTAAGATAGCGTTATTTCTGGTGAAAAAGTGGGCACCTGTGATTTTACGGATCGCCACGTTTTGGACTGCCTCTATATTTGCCCAGTTTGATGCACTGATGAGAGGACCCCATGCTGAAGAGTCATATAGTAAAATTGGTTTGATATATAATTTATAAATTGAGAGTCTGGTTGGCATTGGGATGGGTGATCTGCTGTTAAGTATCGGGTATAGTGCCCCTCTGGCTTGCTTAGCCTTCCTGATGAAGACCTTGACGTGATCATTTAGGCGCAGGCCTTTGTCTAGTGTGACGCCGAGATAGGTGGTCTTGTTTTTCCAGTCGATTGTTTGGCCTAGTATTTGGATTTTTCGCGTGGTTTCTTTTCGGCTGGTTCCAAAAAGTATGCATACCGTTTTTTGAGGGTTCAGTTTTAAACGCCATTTTTTAATCCAGTCGGTTGTCGTGGTGACTTGGCGTTGAAGACGGATTATGGCGAAGTTTTTCGACGTGTTACTAGAGTAAAACATGGTGTCGTCGGCAAACAAGAAGTAGTAACACGAGGTGAGGATGGGAGATCATTGATGTATAGAGTGTATAATAGGAGAGAAAGGGATGACCCCTGTGGAACTCCTGCTTCGATTGTTCTGAGGGTTGATTTGAGGTCGGAGATTTGAATTTTGAAGTTCCGGTTTGATAGGAAGGATTTAATGATTTTTATCAGGGATGTGGGGACGGTTGACATTGTGTGGAGTTTGTGGATTAATCCGTCGTGCCACACTCTGTCGAACGCTTTCTCCATGTCCAAGAAAATGGCAGCCGTGTGTCTATTATTATTTGTATTTATTACCAAGTCGTCGATCAATTTAGTGAGTTGCGTAGTCGTCGAGTGTCCGTGTCGGAAAGCGTGTTGTTCTGATCTTGGCTTAAAATATTTGTTTAGATGGCTTAGTAGAATTTTTTCAAATACTTTTGACATCGTGACGAGAAGTGATATTGGCCTGTAGTTGATTGGTAGACTGTGGATTTCGTTAGGCTTCGGAATCATGACGATGGTGGCAGTTTTCCAGGAGGTCGGAAAATAAGAGTGTCTGAAACAAGCTGTTATTAAGTTGCTTAGTCTTACGATGGCAGGGGCTGGAAGGTGCTTTAGTGCAGCGTTAGTAATGTTGTCGTGTCCAGGGGCTTTGGCGGATGGTAGGTTTTTAATAATTCCAAACACTTCCCCAGGGGTAGTGAAAAGGCTTGACTTTGTGGAGTATCCGTTCAGTTCGTTGACCGATCGGCTGACCTCCAATAGCTCGTTCCCAGGGTTGGCGGTAAACTGGTCCCTCATTGTGTCTGCAAACAGCTCCAGTTTGGATTTAGTGTCGTAGATTTTTTGACCGGAGTTTTCCGTCAACGGAGCGGAAGCTGGCTTCTTGTGAAGCAGACGACGATTTAATTTATAGAGTGATTGATCTTGGAAATTTAGTGTGGATGTGAAACGGTCCCATGCTAATTTACGGTGTTCCTTAAGGAGGTTTCGGACATACACTCTTTGGGCGTTTAGCATTGTCTTTACTGCTGGATGCCTAGTGCGTTGCCAGTCTTTCCTTAAATTTCGTTTGGTGGCAATCTCAAGTAGGATATCGGGGGAGAGTGGCTCTCTGGTTTGAGGTTTGTTAATGAGGTAGGAGCATTTTTCGATTGTTGACTTTATGAGTGTGGTAAATGAATCAACCTCGTTGTCGATTTCTGTTGGGTTTGATAGTTTGGTCGTCAGTTTTGGAGATTTAAGCGATAGTTCTTGCTGAAATTGTTTCCAGTTGATTCTTTTTCTGGCAGCCGGAGGGTTAATCGTAATAGGAGAGTCGCTTATAGTCATAACAATTGGGTTATGGTCTGACGGTAGCTCATTATGATTAGTAAGGACATACTCTCTGTGATGGAGGTTTACAAGTGCTATGTCCAGGATATCTGGCCTGTGTAGAGAATTGTAGGAGTAGTGTGTTGGGGAGTCAGGTGCGCAAATGGAGTATGAGTTGGATGTTTCCATATGTTGGTGGAGAATTCTACCCGCCTGGTTTGTAGTGCGACAGTTCCAAGACTGATGTTTTGCGTTAAGGTCACCTGCTGCTAGAAAAAGGTCATTTTGATTTGTCAGGATGTCTAGGTCGTTAGTTTGCAGGGGAGAATTTGGACTCTTATACATAGAAGTTATACGGACTTGGTCGTTCCCAAGTTTGATTTTGACTGTAGTTGACTCGAGGGAAGTCTTGATGACCTCTTGGTTGTGAATTATGTTTTTGTGGACAAGTATGGCAGTACCACCCGCTGATGGGGATCTGGGTTTTGGTGGACGGTCTTGACGGTAGGTAAAATAGTTTGGGATCTTGAGTATGGTTGATGGGTTTAATTTAGTTTCTTGGAGGAGAATGATGTGTATGTTGTTGAGACGTGCGAAGGTGTGTAGTTCGTTGTTCTTGTGCTTGATGCCATTACAGTTCCAAAAGAGAATATTAATGCTATTCATTTTGGGCTGAGAATTCTGTGATGATTGACATGATGGTGTTTATGATGGTATCTTTGGTGGAGGCGTCCTTAAAATCATGAGCTGAAGCTAATAGTTTATGTATTATAAGCAGTACTTTAGTGGCCGTTATAGAAGGTTCAGGTGCTGCTGGTTTTTGACCACTGGTGACTTCAGCGAATGATGCTTTTAGGTGGATCTGAGTTGATGTGTTGTCATGACGTGCAGATGGTTCAGGCGGAGTTGGGCGATTGGTGGTTCTGAGTTTGTTTTCGCGGCTATGGGGATTGCTGGATTGGGCTTCTTTTTGTTTCATGAGGTTAGTGTAGAAGGGGCATCCGCGATAGTTTGCGGTGTGAGCGCCACCGCAGTTGCAGCATTTAGGCGCGACATCCAGAGGTTTGATGCACAAGTTTGAGGCATGGGTGTCGCCACACTTGACGCATCTTGAAGAGTGGCCTCATTGGAGGGAAGAGTGGCCAAAATTTTGGCATTTGTTGCATTGTGCCGGACCAGTTGATCTATACGGTTTGATTTTGATGTTGATAAAGAAGAGTTTAGATATTTGATATATGTCTTTAGCTTGTTCGAGGTTTGCAAGGGTAACCATGTGTAGAGGAATTCTGTGGCCGTTTTTTGAGAAAGCTCTGATGATAGCGATAGTAATAATGACATTTATAGAAATATACATATTAATAATCATGGATAAGGTATTATGGGGATACTTAGTGTTAGGGATGATTTAGATGTAATAGAAAGTATTTTTAATGAAGTAGAAGATAGTGTTATGGAACCGGGGTTCCAACACAAATAATTTAACGCACGATTAGATTGATATTAATTATATAGGTTTTATTACGGGTTTTAACATTAACTAGTTGTACATATAATATAAAAATGCTCTTCTTAAAACATACGTTAAGTATAATGCTCTGTTCTAATGCGACTGACTAACCTCCTCCCTGTGCGTCGGCCTACGGCCCCGCCGGACGCCGAATCGCCTAGTCAGCGGATTCCTGTCGACGAGCCGTCGACCAACACACTCTTCTTATACTGTGAACATAATATAATATAATACTATTCAGGGGTTTACAACACCCCCCACACTAAATGAGACACGGGGGTCCTATGATCACCGTGTTTCATCTAATTTAAAAGAGTCTGTAAATTGGGATGTTGGAGATTAGTTCAGCATAGTTTTATATATTTTTTTTTTTTACAATGATAAATAAAATGATAGAGAGAGAAAAAAAAAATAATAAAATATATATTATACTCTAGTGTTTTCCTGAATACCATTCGAATGTTCTTCTGGTATTTCAGGGATGTACATTCTTATTGAATGTTTCCTTAGTTTACTAATACATATTATTATTGTTATTCCAAAAACAAAAAAAATTACATAAATAAATATAACATAAAATTCTATTTTTTGGATGAACATTGAATTTGGTAGTACATGTATAAGCTTACTTAATTCTACTGCTTTGCTGGCAAGAATATTAAAATTTTTAATGCACTTCGTGCTTGAAAGGTTCTGAGGAACTACTCCTTTAAGATTTTCTGTGATTTCTGATTGAGTTATGTCCCTAACATTGTTTGATATAATATCCAATTTAACATTTCTATTGGATTTACTCTCTGCTATAAACATGGAGTTATCGATGTTCATTTTGCAAGAATTAGGAATTGTTATTCTACCTAGATTGTTGATTTGTATTTGGAATTTTTCAAGTGAGTCCGAACATGTGATAGTACCTGGTGTACTATGTTGAGTATAGTATAACCATGCATTGGTTTTCGTTAACTTGTGCCAAATGTTCGTATTCAGACTCATGAATTTTAAATTGCAAGTCTTTGGGAAATGTTGGGGGTCCATGAGTAATGATACTTCACATAAATCCGATCCTAAACGGTGATGGATTAGTGATTCCTGTTTGCACAGTTTGCCTAACCCTAAACTTTTGCATTTTTCCCATTGCTCTGTATTTAGTGTGTAAAATTTTCGTTATCACTGCTGAGTGCTAGATATTCCACTTCCGTATCTATTAATACTATTGTCCCCTCTATGTGTGGAATAGGTAATGGTATTGGGTGGTAAATGGTATATTTGTCATTAGATAGTAGAGGAATTTCTATTACAATAATTAAATAGTTCTTTTGGGTAAAAATTGTCATTTCCGAGATTCTGAGAAATTCTGTCAAAGATTCTGTGTTTATTTCCATTGGTAGAGTACTTCCTGTTGGTAAATTCATCTTTATTTCTCGCAACTCACTCATAAGTGTCTGCGATGTGAGTGCGCTCGTATATACCTTCCCATTGAGAGCTGCGTTTACTATTGCCATGAGATTTTGCGTGTCATAGGCGAATCTATTTAATATTATCTCAAACAAAAATGCTTGTTCCAACAATTTTGTTTTGAATGATATTATGTCAATGTTCTGTGTGTTGTTCTCGAATTGCTGTTGTAGGTGTTTCAGATTTTTCTCAATTTGCTGCTGATGCATTTTTAAACTTTTCAGTGTTTGATTAGTTTCTGTTTTCTCCACTTCCGAGATTCTCGTTCTGTCATGTATAAGGTTTAGATTCTTTAATTTGCTTTTACCTAACTCTATTATATTGTCTACAATAAAGTCAGTGTTGATTCTTGAACACATTCCGTAAATTACGTTTGTTATTCAGTTAACAGCACTTCCCAATCCACGTCTACTTTTCTTTGCTGTCTGTTGATCATAGTCAATGGCTATCATCAGACTTCGATAGTTCGATTCTATCTCATATAGATATGGTAGTGTTGCTCGTGTAAACTGTTGCAAAAAAGGTTTACATATCCTCGAGAATTCTTCGTTTTCTGATTGATTTGTACAGTACTGTGCTGTTTTTTGTAAGTGGGACTTTAATATATTGTATTCTGCTAATTGTTCGTTTAGGTTTACGTAAACTACTAAATCCCAAGTAATATGTGATAGACCAAGTTGGCCATGGGACTCGTAGTAAAGTCCTTGATGTTCTGTGATTGGAGTTATCGCGTACTCTGGGGTTGATTGTCTGTCTTGATTATCTGATTCAATTTTCCTCTGTAGTTGGGCATGTCCAACTGTGGTAATTGCAATGATCCTGAAAATAGTTTAACAAGAACATTTAATTACCTTCGTAGAATTGTTTTAATAAATTTCTGTGCAGAATGACTGGTCTGTTTTCTTCAATATCGTTATATTTGGAGATTCTGGGTTAGTTTCTATTACCGTATAGGGTCCTATCCATTTCGGAGCTAGCTTACCTTTACTAGCTTTTTCTTGGATGAGTACCTTGTCACCTATACTTATTGTTAGAGGTGAGATTGTCTGATCGTAACGATCTTTCGATTTCTGTTTGGAATCATAGAGATGAGTTTTTGCTTGAGCATGAGCTTCTTGCATGTTCCTCTTTAATTCAAAATAATAGTCGTCATAATTGTATTGAGGTTCTGTATTTTTCAAAATGAATTTGGTACTGTTATTGGATTCCCATATACTAATTGGTATGGTTGGTACTTCGTGGAAGTGTGTGTCGTGGAGTTATGACAGAACATTGCGAACGGGACATGTGTGTCCCAGTTCTGTGGGTCTTTATTGACGAAACTGCGTAGATATTCTGCTAGTGTCCGGTGACTTCGTTCCAAGGATCCATTACTCTATGGATGATACGGACTGGTGGATGTTTGTTTAATTTTCAGCAATTGATACACTTCCTTAAATACCTTGCTTAGAAACTCGGTGCCACAGTCTGTTACGAGGCTCTGAGGAAGACCATGTAGACACACGAATTGAGTCACAAAAAATTTTGCAACTGTATAAGCTTCATGATTTGGCATCGGAGCTGCCCACGCGAACTTCGAAAGGTCATCTTGAAGTGTAAGAATGAACACATTTCCGTTGTAGGATTTCGTAAGTGGTCCTACAATGTCCATATATATCTTTTCGAAGGGTCTGGATGCCGTGGTGGTGATCGTCATTGGCTCACGGGCAGTTCGATTGGATGACTTGTTTGCTTGGCAGGTGGCGCATTCCCGAATGTATTTTTTTATCTGTTTCCTCATTCCTTTCCAATTATGATGCTGAGATATCCTTTGGTGGGTACGGGTGGTTCCCTGATGCCCTCCCATCGTATTCTCGTGGAATTCGCGGATGATTTGTAGCTGCTCCTCCTCTGAGACCGTCTCAGGAACTAGCACTTGTATAGTTACCTGAGAGTCTCGGAAGATGTATTGCAACATAGAACGGACGGTTTCCCACTGGAGTCCATCTAGGCCAGTGCCTAGACGTGGACAAGTGAGTGTCCTAATTTCTCGTTCTTCACAAAGAGTTCGAAGTTTCTGTAAACTTTGGAAGAAATGTTCAGGTTCGGGCTTTTGCCAAAAATGCTGTTTTGTAACGAGGTAAAATATCTCGCGTTTTTTTAACCGCAGAGACAATACATCTGGGACTGTTCTTGGAAGTCGGCGAAGTTGATTTAATCCACCGAATCTCCGTCGAAATTCCAAGGCGATTCCCTTAGTCATCTTAAGGTCGCTAGAGACACATTGTGCTAAAGCCATGCTTTGATCAGTCTCGAAGATGTCTCCTTTCGATTCCACTACCTTTGGAGTGAATGCAACTTTTTCTTTTAAAAATGTCTGATAGCTGCTTAAAGGTTCTGTGGAGCTTGATTGTTCTGTAGAAGTTGAAGGTTCTGCACAATCTGGAGATTCAGTAGAGTTTGGAGATTTGGATGATCTAGTCACAACTCTATTAATTCGGCTCAATACATCCGCATTGGTATTACTGGCTCCTGGTTTGAAATGGATCTCGTACTCATATTCGGCAAGCTTCAGCCTCCAGCGAGTCAATCTGGATCCGGGGTCTTTAATATTGAATAACCAATTCAAAGCTTGGTGGTCTTTTACTATATTAAATTTCTGACCGAACAAGACGTATGGACGGAATTGTTTCACCCTCCATACTATCGCACATAGCTCCTTTTCGGTCGTGTTGTAGTTTGATTCAGCACGGTTCAGAGTTCGTGATGCATACGCTATTGGAGGGTCTGCACCAATTGGGCCTTGCGAGAGAACGCAGCCAATGGCATAATTGCTAGCGTCGCATGTTAAATTGAAGGTCCTAGTGAAATCCGGTTATTGCAATAAAGGTTCTGTTGTTAGAATTTTCTTCAACGTATCAAACGCTTCTTGGCAGAGATCTGTCCACTTAAAATTGACGTCTTTCTTCAACAAAGCAGTTAATGGCTTTGCTATTCGTCCATATCCTGGTACAAATCGTCTGTAGTATCCCGATAAA